GTGACGTCATCGGCATCGTCACGTGACCCCCCCCTTATACCCTTCCCTCCTCCTCAAGAACTGCGCTCTAATTCAGCGTTACAGGGAGTTAGTTGTAAACGGCTTTCACTTTTTTGTCGTCTGCTCGTTCAAACAAAAGCGGCCCGCAGACCAAACTTTGCCCCGGTGATTGTAATAAGAAGTAATTGCAAGCCTCAAAAGATTTAAGTTGGCTCGGTGAAAACAGTAGATACAAGATGATCATGGGTACCAGTGGCCATCTCCGACTTGTTACGCTTGGTGTGTTCCAGCTTCCTATTTTCAGTATTGACGTCGATCATCGCCGCTACCTTTTACACGTTTGCAGCACGAACAACGTTGCGACCAAAAATAGCTAGAAGAATCTCATCATGGTTTCGGCGTCCATTCTGCGGCGTTCATGCGAATGAATCGCTGCACGTCAAATTATTTACGCAAAGTTCAGCGTCGTAACGAACCTTGATAATTTTGCTCAGGCGATTAAAGTGGTAAGGCATTGTTATGAGGACGTAGAATCGACAATTCCAACACGAAAAAGAGTATGCAAACTCACACAGAAGCTGACGTGACATTCCAATGGTTTGTTGACGCGGGACGCGGTGCTTCTTGCCCGCACTCCATTGCGCATCCGTTCGAACTGTCGTCTGCTCTTTCAAACGACAGCTGCCCGTAAACCAAGTTTTGACCCGGTAATTTTGATAAGAAGTGCAGGCCTCAAAACACTTTTGAAGGTTGGTTGGGGTAAGTAGGCTAAGTGTAAGTAGATACAAGAAGATATTGATCATTGCTACCAGCGGCCGTCACCGACTTGTAATGCCCGATTCTACTTGCCGTTTTCAGTATCGACGTCCACCATCTCAGCTACGGTCCACGCTTTTACAGCCCGAGCGACGTCGCGACTGAAAATAGCGAGATAACTCATCGTGGGACTTGGGCTTTTGCGCTCATTTTGCGGCGTCCACATGAAATGAATCGCCGCACGTCGCATTATTTATGTAGTTTTGCGGTGCAACGAGCCTCATTAATTTTGCTGAAGCCGCTCAAGTAGTCAGACATTGTTAGGAGGACATAGAATAAACAATTCCAATGGAAAAAGAGCACGGGGACTCACACCGACGCCGACAACGCAATTCAATGGTTTGTTTATGGGCGACGGCGAGCTTCTTGCCCACCGTCCACCGCGCGGCGTCCGCTAGGGGCACTCTGGTTTGTTTGTAAACATGAGTTGGGTGTAGGAGGCTGGTGACATGTCTAGGGTAGACAATCACTGCCCCATTTCCTTACTGTATGTTCGTTTGAAAGTGTTTGAGATAGTTATACACAGACATGAGTCTTTTTACTCCAGTTTTGAACAGAGCACCATTGAACGCAATTTTTTTTTAGAAAGTTGCTCAGTAAAAATTGGATTTTGTAAGCTTGAATACACAGTGCCATTTGTTCTCTCTTGGAAGCAAGTTAATATTCATTTCGATTTATAACGAGCTTTTGATAAGATGAACCACAAATTACTTTTGTAAAAACAGTTATTGTATGGTGTAGCATTGCCACATTTAAAATGGATTAATAACTAGCAACTTGCAAGATGAGGACGGCAGGGTGAAGCTTCAGTTGCCCTCACTTTAGCACGAGTTTCATCCTCACTTTAGCACTAGTTTTATACCTTCTTCAATGCTTTGAGCCCGAGCATTTGCAAGACACGCCCATACGTTCTCATTCCGTTAGGGACTATATCTAGCACATTGCCCGAATCGTGTACAGGTCTTGAATAGACTATCGCATGTTTTTCTACTAACCTGGGGTGTGCCTCGAGGATCAAATGTAGGACAACAAGAATTGCAGGGAGGAGCCTCCTACATTTGGCAATGCTTTGGCATCTTACGAGCCTCAACAATGCATGCGCAGACAAAGCATGAGAAAAGGCTACAAGTGCTTGCTGGAGGCTGGGCGTTAAGAGATGCCCTGCGTTTCTCACCTTGTCAGCGACTATTAGCACCGAGATGTTCTGGTGGCATCTTTTTTTGTTCGCAACATCAGGGGCAGTTTGACACTTCAGCACCATGTTCCAAATAAAAAAAAAAAAAAAATTAGCCTTTTCACTCTGGTGAAGAAGGAAGAGCAGCGGAGCTGTAGCTTCTGTTTTCGGTGGTGGCTTTTCAGGCGAGCGATCTGCTCTTCTTTCGTAAAGGAATCTGAAGCGCTTGACGCAGTGGAACTTTAGGTAATAGCAGAACCATACGCGCTGCTGCGCACATCGCTGCTCGTTCCGTTCCCGCTCTTCTTCCTCCTAAGAAATGTTGCCGCCATCTATCAGCGATGGCAGCAACCAGTTCTCTGGTTGCCAAGGCTGGAAATGTTGCCGCGATCTATGAGCGACGGCGGCAAACAGTGTTGTGTCGACCACAGGTGTTGACATTTGTTTGGTACCGGACATGATTCTGGGGAAACTAGCCCTTAACAGCTCTGCTGTAAGAAACACCTTTCATGCAAGGCTTGTCAAAATATTAGGTGCTGGAAAATATTGGCCATACACATTCAGTCCTCTTCATGTCCTGCAGCCACATTGAAAAGCACTGCAAACAAGTACAATCATGCTCCTGATCTCGTCACAACTGTCTCTCCTCCTGTACAATAAATTCTGCATGCTATGGTCACCAAATGTCAATAGATGCATATGCCAATGCAGCAACTGAAGCCAGCTACAGCCACGCCATCTTCCTAATGCCAAATTCCTACCAATGCAACAGTAGCTTGGGCTCCGAGCTAGGCAGTCCCCCCTGCAAATGGTTTTATGCCATCCCTTCAATTTATTTCTAAAATTCTATAGACCTTTTCGCCCTCCGTCGCATGGGCGCTGTGATCTTGAAATCATGTGACACAGCGGCCATTAGGTGGCTTCAAATTTTCACTCGTTTCTCCCCTTCGCGTTCTATTCGTTTTTTTCGTCGCATTTTACTACAATTTTACAGCGAAGCTGTATATGACTCCGTTGGTCAGGTTTTTTTTCCGTCTGTTAACAGAACAGTAGTGGACAGAAAAGCATCGTGCGGCGCACCTTGTCTTCTATCACATAGTTTTGACTAGTCTTGTGCGAATAGTGGATTTTGAGTTCGAAGCGAATTCAAAGCGAATAGTGGTTTTGGCCGAATATTTTCGATTTGAATATCGAATAGTTTTTTCGCGCCTTTCACTACCATTGCATAATGCTTAGACGAAAACCCAGCTAAACTTGTGAAGGTTGTTCCACTTGTTCATTTATAAGCTAAGTTTAGTCTATCTATATTTATGAACTGTGACCTCGGAAGGTCTGGTGTCTTGGGATGGCAAGTAAACGACAGATCTGATATAAAATGAATCCTGTAGAGATGGCCAACTATACCCAATGGAGTGAATTTACAAATCTTGCTATATAAAATATTCTTTCTTTAATCTCGAGTCAAAAAAGAATGAATCGTGCATGATGAACGCAGGTTGTAAGGCCATCTCTAATTAACATAGTATACCCTTGCATAACAGTTTAATTTTAAAATTTTTACTGCAATGTAGATATACACATTCACAAAGTTCTCATTTATTTTCAAATGCAGTCGGCACAGGCGCACCATCCCGCTATGAATGTATGCTTTACTTCCAAGCACGCAATTACGATATTCATACTTGTCAAAGTTTGTCGCGGCTGGTTACCCCATTGAGTGCGCTTCTTACCAAGCACCGGTGCACTGCGGAGTAGCAACACCCGCGAAGCTCGCGTCCGCGAGTATTGCTTCTCCGCAGCGCACCGGTGCTTGGTAAGAAGCGCACTCAACGGGGCCAAAGTCGAATTTGGGGGTTTTACGTGCCAAACCAACGACGGGCTTCTGGCACGCTTCAGCGGAGGACTGAGGATTAATTTCGACCACCTGGGGATCTTTTGACATGCAACCGAAAGCTCGGTTACACGGCGTCTTCTCCGCAATAAGCCTCCGTCAGATTGCGGGCACCTCGGCCGCACTCAACGGGGCCAACCCGCGGCAATCAACACTTTGAAAAACGCGAATAGTGCAGTTCTTCTCGAAGCGAATATCGAATAGTGTATTATTCGGAACTACTATTCGAAATTTCGAATATTCGCACAACCCTAGTTTTGACACTTGTAGTTTTCAACAAGAAAACCACAAGTGTCAAAACCACAAGATAGATGATAAGGCACGCACAAACAATGTGAAGTACATAGCTCCCCGCATGCGTCTCGGTAAAAATTGCGGTTGCGTAAGCTGCCGTGGGAACGGCAGCGTACAGCCGTTCATCTAGACCCTTTTGCTCTTTACAAACATGAACTGCCGCTTGTGTCCCAAGTGACTTCCGGTCGCTCAGTCTTTGCAAGCCTGTTGAGCTTGTTCATGTCACCAGTGCTAGAAAGCTTAATCTCCAACATACAGTTGAACCTCGATTTAGCGAAGTCACCGGGACCCCCTAATTATTTTGTTAAATCGGGAACTTTGTAAAGTCGAGAAAGACATTCTTCGGGATAGGCTGCGCGGGGAATCCGAATTTTTTCGTTAAATCGGGAAACTCGTAAAATCGGGTTTCATTAAATTGAGGTTCAACTGTACATCAAAGTTGGAGACTTAATGAGGGCATTTGGCTGTACAATTTAATGTCTTGGAGGAGGCAAGTTGGTGTACAAATTATTTGAAACATTTTAACATATCTCCCGTTTCTTCATTCTTTTGGCGCTCACCTGGAGTATTGGTGGTTACACGTTTTATCGACATTTTAGGCAGCAGTGTCAAAGTGGGTTTTGTTCATTTTTGTTATGAATCAGAAGTTCGCTGAGACGTCAAACAAACTGAAGCACCGCCTGGTGGCGTTCGCAAAGAAAGGGGTCTATATAAAAGAAGTTTCGGTACACTGCGTTTCGACTGTAAAACGTGGTCGGCAGGTAATGCGCACTGTCATAAAAGAAATACCAACAATTCACTTATATGAAAGACACGAGGGAATGTGGTACAAGACTTGATCCATCAAGAGGCGCTGGGCCTAAAGAGAACTTCCATCTTGCAAGGCTTGATCCACGATTCAGGGCGGTTTGAAACCTATGGTGTATGCAAAGAACGAAAGTGCCTATTAGGTGAACAGAAACAGTACCTTATCCGAACATGTAGGACAACGCATTGGGTGCAATAAACTCGCACTTGAGCAGACGTCGGTTTAACAAGTATTTCAGAATAACAAACTTTAAAAAATCTATGGTAGTTTTCCTTTCCATTCTATGCAAAAATGTTTGCTCTACGAAAAACAAATTTCGGAATAGCGAATATTTCAGTTCAACGAACTTGATCGGTGGACCCAGGATTACTGTTGTGATCAGTTCAACGAAGTTTTGTGCTCTGCAGTGCTGGCGTAGCTGATGGCCGCCGCCGCCTTTTGCAGCAGCGGTGCGGTAGACAAAAACGAACCATGCGGTGCATATTTTTTTTCTTTATCATTGGTTCCTTTCGGCCATTTTAGTTTTGGGTAACAATGGCAGTTTGTGCGCCCACTTACGTAATAAGTATGACGAAATGGAAGCGGTTGTCTCTCAGACAAATTGAAATACTTTCAGCGTCTGGACAACGGTCAAAGGCAAGTGAACGTTGCGAAGGACTATCGGATGCTACTGTCGACATTGTCAACGTTAGTGAAGCAAAAGTCGAAGCTTGAAAGAGAAGCTGCAACCAATCCCAACAGGGAACGACTCTGCACAGAATATTTCAAGCCAGTGGACAGTGCCGTTGCGGTACGACTTCCTCACAGCAACTAGCCGTGCCAGAGGATATGCAAAAAAAAAAAGATACTCTCTGGGCAACTTTGTTACTTCATGCGCTTTCAGAGCGCTGGTGCAAATGAAAATTATTGACTATTTTCAAAATGAGAAAGGCAGCAGCATAACTGTAATACACTTTGTATATATCAATGTACATGACTCCATAAATTGCATTTCACCCTTTTGACTCGATGTATGCTGTGCCCTATGCTGTTCCATATTCCAGTGAATATATTCAGTTTAGTGGACTCCTAGTTAAGGGAACTATTTCCTTGAGTCCCTAGAAGTTTGCTCAAGTGAGAGTTTATTGTATAGAGTTCTAGAACTTAACCGATACTGGCTATTGAAGAATATAACAGGCAGCAAAACATTCACCACAACAGAGATCTTGAAACATGCATTGGTAGTCCAGCAAATTATGTTTCAAAACAAATTTGTGTTCACAAACAAGAAAATTGCCCTTTTACCACACTATTGAGGCAAAGGCTCTGGTAAGGCCTCATTCATACAAAAATTGATCGGTGGACCCTGATCAGTAACCCGTTAGAATGTCCAGCAATAGGTTTCGTGGCACTTTAGATTCCGATCGTTGTATACACTTCTGATTTTATCCCTTATGGGAGGGGTGAGGATGAGAGCTTTTTTAAACAAAATATAATGGTGCAAGGTAACTAGTGTAGGTAAATGTTAAAGGGGCCATGAATCGATTCTTCAACTTCCTTCTTAGCTTTCCTCAACTTACAAATTGTGCAGTATTACCAAAGGTATGGGGGCGTAAGTTTACCTCTGGCAGTTCAAGAGGACGAAAAGGAGGAACTCCCCTCTTGCTCATGGCGCTTGGATCCTCATTTTTGTACTCGCACGTCACCATTCTCCCCCTAGGAAATTGGCCCTTGATGCTCGTCGCTCAACATTCAGACAAAAGTTGCTAATCCCCCCCCCCCCTCCCCAGCCTGTGGCTTCCACAGTACTATGCACAACTAGCATATAAACCGGAATATAGGTCGAATTTATTCTTGAAATTGGACCTGAAAAAGTCGACCCTCGTCTTATACGACGGTCATTAGCGGAAAAACAAAAATAATCTCGCAACACTGAGTGCCTGAAGATGCCATTTCGTTTTTCTTTGCAATGGCCTAGCACTCGTCCACTTGTCACACGATTCACTTTTACTTGTGCTCCTTGGTTTGTTACATCTACCGTTGCTGCTCCCGGAGCAATAATGAGCGGAAGTAGAAGACAGTTCACAGTAGCCTTTTAGAAGAAGGCAATCGCCTATGCAGAGATCCACCGGAATCTTGCAGCGCAGCGAGAGTTCAATGTATCGGAGAAAAGCATACGCTACTGGCAAAACCAGAGACAAAAACCGGCGGCGTGCAGCAAGGCGAAGAAAACTTAATTTCGTGGAAGGACTGCAGTGTACCCCGAATTGGAAACAAAGGCGGCAAACTTTATTCGGGATCTGTGCGCCAGATCGATACTTGTGATGTCAGAGAGCATCCGTATAAAAGGCGTTGAGGTTGCTCGTGCCTCTGAGCTCTCGAGGGCGCAATTCAAAGGGACGGCATCGTCCCTTTGAATTGTGTTAGTGAACTCGTCGTCGGACGAAGGCTCCGAGGAATCTGAGTAGTAACACTCGCATACTTCCTGTTTTATTGAGTGCAAAACAATTAAATAAATCTGCCGTGTTTTCTCGTCCTTTCATATACTTGGACAATTTTGTCACCAAGGTAAGGTTGCATTTTCTTGCCATAAAAACTTTTTTTGCATCTTGCAACTTGTAAATTAAGGGGTCGACCTATATTCCAGTTTATACAGTATCTTCCGTGCACCCCTAAGCCGACAGTGCTGTGGAAACTATGTGCTCGTTGGGCCGGTCACACTTGTATCTTCAGCCACATGATCACGCTCCTTTGCGCATACCCACATGTGCAGAATGGGGTCAGGTGATGGACAGGAGGGCGGGCGAGGTTTGTCCTCTGAAGTCCCAATTTTTTCACCCCCGCAAGGATGGTGAGAGATCTCGCGGTAGCTGATGTTGGTTCTGAACCTTACTTTATCCCATTGATGTATTTCAATGTCTGTGTAGCAACAAACTGAAAGAAAACTTGAAAATGAAGCACAGGTTGTCGATTGCTCGCTTCACAGAATAAATAGCCCAGCTCGCGTCCGATTTTGTTGCCCGTGGGACGCAGTTTCTTAGCAGAAAATCCCCTTTTTTTCGGTTCTCGTTCCTTATGGCGGGAAAAACCCCAGTCGTCTGCTCTTGTTCCTCTCCCTAATGATGCATGACGGGAGTGCATTCTGGTGCACACTTGATTCTCAAGGTGCAGCGAGTGCATGGACGTGTGGAGTGCCGACGCCGAAATGAACTTGCTCCATGTTGCGAGTGGGTACGCATGGGCACGAGTGCCCATGCATACATGTAGTCATACACTGTGCATGAGCATGTGGCTTCGACTTTTATCTTGTTTGCGTGCAGAAGTGGCTTCAACGGCATTGCAGAAATTACACTAGCCTTGACAATGAAGTACAAAAAGGTTTACGCCAAGTCTAGACACTGTTGCAAGATCACCGAGCCACCACTAAATGTGTTCCGTTTCAAAATGGTGTAATTGGCAAGACTGAACCGCCACCAAATGTGCCCTGTGGTAGAGCACAAAAGTACATCACCAGACATGAGTATCCAAAATATACTTACAATGGCTAGCGGCGCCTCATAAAAGTCATGCAATGACCCTCTGCTTGGCCACTTAAGCCACACGCAGTGCCGTGAAGGGTACAGGACAGCATCCATGGTGCAGTGATCCAGGGTCCCGCCCGAAGTGTTCCGCTGCTGCCTTGGACAAGGTGAAAGCCAACTCATTGATGTCATGGTCCCCGGTACCTGTGGTGTGTAACCATTGAGTTTAAAGGTTATACAGCCACCGACCGATATTGCAGACCCGATGGGGATCGTGCAGAATTCCGAATAATTGAGCAGTATGAAAAAATGATTTTAGCCTAAAAATCACTTTATTATTACGACTTAAAACGCAAAGTTGCTGCAGCAAGTGATCGATGGTTTGCTGTACGGCATGGTACTGTATGGTACTTCGCATTTCAGCGAGTCCTTTTGTCACTGTACACAGACGAAAGCATTCGGACAAGTTATGCGCTCACGGCTGCACAATGCTCGCCAACTGTGGGGCCAGTCGGTAGACTTTCCCCTCGGTGAAGGGCAAAGTCCGGTTTGTAAACGCTGTGCCGCTGGAACAAATGCGCAGATTGATCGCTACTTCCTTGGCGATACAACCGCTGCCTTCTCACGTCGACACATGGGAAGTACCGCAAACAAAAGCAGACACCGTCATGACTTGCAAGGTAAAACCGGAGGCCAAGAGCAATAGAATTGCTTAGAGTGCTGACGTGCTATGTGGCATCAGCAACCAAAACCTGCCATTTAAAAAAATATATATACTAGTTTCTAGTTTCTTAGCAGGACGTGACGTCACGACAACTGACGGCAGTGATCGGCAGGCGGTGTGCATTCTTGCCACTGAATTCATAACCTGTCACCGAATGTAGTTTTTGAACATGGCAGATATAATCTGGCCTGTTTTCGTCCACAATGCTGCCGCCTAGTCTGTCGCATAAATTATTTTTGTTCCTAAGGGGCAATTGGGGCTTTACGTAAACATAGGCTGGACGTGCGTGTGGGAAAAATAACATGAATGACTGCCCCCACCCAACATTGGCTCTTCAAACAAACTGCCCGAAAAAAAAAAGGCCAATATGTCAACATTTTTGTCCTTTCCCCATTTTTGGTGGCTGTCGTGTCAGATTGAAGTATAAGTAACTAGTAAAATAAAAATTAATGAAAAAGTACATAGCGTAAGGTGTAAATAAACTCTATAGATATAATACCAGTCCCAATGGTTTAACAAAGAGGCTGGTTTTCTCAGAATGCCCCCCTCTCACTCGAGTCCGTATTGAATCTTAATATGAAGTTGCCCCGAAAAAGCTGCAGAAAATGCACATAGTGACAGAGCCCATAAAGACCACACCGGCCTTTCACATGGCCTTTCAAACTAGATGCAGTACAGGACGCAGAACGGTACCCATGGGCTAGCTGCAGCTGTAGCCCAGTGCTTGTAGTGTATCGCAGCTGATGGAAGGGAGGGAGGCCAGCTCCTTCCATGCCGTGGTACCGGGAAAAACAATACAGATGAGCCACAGACGTCAAGCGCCTTGAGTATTTCTGTGCATCCATGAAGCCAATCTGGGACAGCAACGACAAAAAACTTCAGTAACACAGTGAACAAAAGAGTAGTCATGCAGGCGAGCTGTGAATTGTGAACACAACTAAAACCCAAGGCACAAGAAAGCAGAAAGGAAGAGGTCTTTCCACTTCCTTGCATGTCGGGTTTGAGTCTCGCACGGGGTAGTAAAAAGCAACAATACTGGTTCCCTAGTCTTTTTCTGCATCAAGAAGCCTTGGAACAAAGAAATCCTACTAGTTATTCATCTTGTTTTCTCTTCTCGGGCCGATTATAGTGCACGGTGCGGAAGCAAACTGCCTCGAAGGGGCTCAACTCACACTTCCAAGAAAATGATTGGCGAGCAACCACTCCATTGTGTACTACGTGCACTGTATGTTTTAAGCAGGTCTGTTTTCTGCTAACACGACAGCGGTAGGAATGTTACTTGTGTCGAGCTGGAGAAGCCATAGGGGGGGCTACCCCAGCTACGCCCACGCTGGCTCTTATGGCGGTTATGTGCAACGCAGACAGCTTTCCCCATTTCAACCGAGTGCCTAGGCAGACACAGAAGCAGCCACACAAGACAATCGAGGGAAGACGCAGAGTTGTACAGGCTAAGAGGGAACGACATAGTGTAGCGAGCTTTTTAGTCCAGGCTATTCCTCCGAGAAATGCAGTCGGTGGAAATGTAGGTCAGTTGTTCTTGCCATTAATTTAGGTAACGAATGCAAACATTATACTATTTTGCATCTTTTTCTACTGCAATGCTAGTCACCCGCAACGAAAAAACGCCACAAACTGAAAGAAAGTCTGGTTGCATTGTTACACGGACACCAAGCCCACCAGGAAAAGCCATCTGTGCCATCCACCTGTTCATAAGCGAGCTGGAGTTCATCAAAGCACAACCGAGACTCTCTCGGGAGTATTTGGTTCCTTGTCACTAGTTATTGAATGAAAACACAGTGCAGTGTTGATTACTGTCAGCGCAGCCTTGCCACTAGCACTGCTGTCACTCGGGTGGCACATATTTCGCTGGCACGACATGGCCTGCGGGCCACATATATCCCTAAAAGAAAGCTGCATAGAATGCACTTACCGTGGCTAGCATCGCCGCCCAGAGAGCTTGCACAAACCCTCCGCATGACACGCAGTGCAGTTCAGAACAGAGCAGCACTGGCTAGCCAGTTGCTGCGAAGGCTTGCAGTGTCTTGCTGCTGCAAGTCACCTCTTTCATGCCTTGTGGTACCCATCAGTTTCAAAACAAACGCTGATGAACCGCGAGCAGCCATGACCTGTAGCACAAGGGGGAAAAACGTATGAATGTGCAGTCTCCTATCTGTTTGCTTTTGTCTAACGGCTCTGAGTTTTCTTTGAGAAGAAAACAGCAATGACACTTCTTTCACAGTAATGTGCAAAAGAAACAAAAACGGCTCGGTTATTATACCGTCTCATAAGTTGTGTGCAGCAAAGGCACGGGTGCGAGGGCGCAGCTCTGCAGAATGTTCTTTTTGCGCGGGTACTCGTGCAAAAAAGGCGCTTTTTATTGTCATGTGCTCGGGCCTGCGCCTTTGCTGCACACAACTTATGATACAGACTGTATAGCACGCCTCCGTGAGCACTCGCGTACGGCGAGAAATCCATGATATCCAGGGTACGATAGCAGGAAACCTCGCAAGGGTGCACGAAGCTGCAAGTGCACCAGAATGTGCAGCTGGAGGTGGTGACAGAATGACATAGTTTGAGAATATGAGGTTACTTGGGTCAAAATATAGAAGCGAAAAACGTAACTTCCTTGCCATCGGAGCACGACCAACTATTTGTGCGAAGACAGACAGCGCAGTTCCTTGTTGACATGGGACGTAATATCAAACACATTATTCCGTCGGATCAAACGTTTTGTTTAATCAGGCTTAGCTCGGAAGTCTGACGGCAGGTCTGGGGTCGGAGGCATGCGGTTTTTAGAGCTCTTTTGGCGGGCTTTCAGCTTTCTGCGATGCGTGTTTTAATCGTGAGCACAGGCTCAAACAATAGGCAGCGGCGCCAAATGATTTTGAAACGAAGAAGCAGCTCGGACGCGTGGAACGAACACATCGAAATCACATCACAGGAAAACGCAAATCACTCACCTTTTGTTACACGATGGTTCGCAAGACACGATTCAAATCGACGACACTCGATTCGGTCACGATATTCAGGTAAAGGACGCAACAACGTAGGCTTGCCGTTCCTAATAACTCCATAAATACGGCGATACGACACGATATCAAACAAAGGAGTCGGAAAAACGCAGTCTGTAGCGCAGAAAACGCGTTCACGCGGTTGCAAAAAGCAAGAAAATAAACAAAATTTAAAAAAAAACGTCAACAAAGTAAAAATAACGAAAAGTTTCCTCGCTAAAAACCGTGACGTCACAGAAAACAAAACAAACAAAAACAAGCAAAACAAAAATTTTTTGTCACGTGACGTTATATTTGTGACGTCACTTCCGGTGACGTCGGGTCACGTGACCTGCCATTATTCCTCCTCCGAATCGCTCGTAAGGCGAGAGAGCACCGGTGCAGCTGACCCCGACTTACCCCTGGGGCGCCATTGCTCCTGATGCCCGATGCTTCTTTCCCGACGTGGCGACAGTGCGGCGGAAGACAGGCCCTTCAGGCGCCCACAGGTCCTCGAAAGCTTCGGTGACCTTGGCCAGAGAACAGATGCTTGTGCATTGTATCCGATGGCTGTCTCCAGCAGTTGGCGATGCAGCTCAGGAGCATTGCCTACACTCTAAAACAAAAACGTGCCAAATAGCACCTTTTAGGGTTCTTTCACTTGTCCAATGGGCGGCACCCTTAAAGGTGCAGAAAAGAACCCACAAAAAGGGTTCTTTCTAATGAACCCTATTTCGGGGTTCTTTTCGGATCGTTTATTGGTTCTTCTTAATGAACCCTATTTTTGGTTCTTTTCAGAACGCTTCTGGGTTCTATTTAACGAAACCTATTTCGGGGTTCTTCTAGGATCCTTTTTCGGTTCTTCCTAATCAACCCTATTTCGGGTTCTTTCCCGAACCCTTTTTGGTGCTCTTGATGAACCCCATTTCGGGTTCTTTCCAGAAACCTTTCGGGTGCTCTTAATGATCCCTATTTCGGGTTCTTTCCAAAACCTTTTTTGGTGCTCTTAATGAACCCTATTTCAGGGTTCTTTTCGTATCCTTTGTTGGTTCATCTTAATGAGCCATATTCGGGTTCTTTCCAAAACCCTTCTTCGTGCTCTTAATGAACCTTATTTTGAGGTTCTTTACGGATCCTTTTGTTTTTTCTTCATGAACCCTATTTCATGTTTTATCCGGAACCCTTGTTGGTTCTTTCAATAAATCCCGACTTGTTACATTATGTTAGCATTAACTTAGTAAACCATATTTTGTACTTCTAACCCTCTTTTATGACAAATCCTTTTTTTTTACATTCGTAGTTAGTTTTTAGTAAATCGTATTTTGTATTTCTTGCTCCACAAGGTGAAGCAAAAATTTTTTCTACCAACCAAAATGTCTTTAGATTGTTCATTAATCACTAGCACTGGGCCTTTTCGACAGGTTGACAAACACCAGTCTGGCCAGCGTCAAGACACTTCATTCCTGTTCGTAATTAACTAAGTGACAGGCAGAAAAGTAAAGATCATGTCCATTCATATACTTTATTAGGGTCGCAAAAATTGATTCTTCTGTTCGCAGTAAGAAAACTAACAAAATTTGAAACAGTTTTAAGACGAGACGGTTTTCACTGCCAGCAACATGCACACAGCGTCTACTGTGGTTCTGATGCCGCTCCCTGTCAGGACGCCGTCCAAAAAGATGTCAAATTTATTTTCCTGGAGATGGATCAGTGGCATCAGTGTCCGGACTTCCTACAACAAGAAAGCAAGAATATAAACACATGCATTTTCTTCTGTATAATTATGCTGCGAGTTTCTCATTCGCGACGCCTTTAGATCAATTATAATTGTATAGGTTTCACTAAGCATTTTATTTCTCGTTTAGCCTTACGCTCTAAAACATACCCGCAGATGTGATTTCCTTTAAAATATTTAGTGGGTCAATCAGTGCGATCTAGAGGGCGCGACCAGCTGAAAATATGTTGCGACTTAAAAATGAAGTCTTTAACGTGACACTGAGCATGACGCCAGCACGTCGAACGCCATACTCAATGACATCTCTCGCTTCATTCATATGTCTAAACATGCTTTGGCCTTTTTATTCGCCGAGCTCTCTTCATGAATTGGTGTGATTGGCTTCTCGAGCGTTCTGCGGGAAAGTAGATGCACAGGAATTTTAAGCATGTTTCAAGAAACGTTAGTTCTACCCATATTACATCCCTCTTGTCATATAGTTAGTAAAAGGTTAAAAAAAAATCTACGAGCTGGAGAGGAGGAAGCGGACAGAAGCTTTTAGGGGAGAGGAGAAACCTTCTCTCTATTCCAAGCGTCTGTCGGCTTTCTTCTTTCAGATTTTACTTAATCTGTCATTGACTTTAGGCGCTTATATTTCATTTAAATTATTTTCAGAAAATAAAGCAAGGATTTGTTTTATATTACTGGCTCGTATATTGGAAATATAACCCTGACAAGCTTGCATTACCATCTGTGACAATGCACTATACTCGGGGGTGACTTGGACAACTTTTTTTGGCAACGTAGTCGGAGTTAAAAACGCCCGCGCATCTTGAGCGCCAATCAAGGCTATGCACACGCACTCTTCACTTCAGAAACGTCACAGAAAGTTGTTTCCGAGTATAAGTTCACCCTGTTTTAAACGAATGGCGCCGATAAGCGGTCATCAGTTCGTAATGAGGTAGTAAGTTAACCCAACATATTTATGGTGGACAAAGGTAAACCTCTGCGCCGTCGCAGTCTGAAGCTTGTGATAGATTACAAAACCACCGACTAAAGTGTACCTTCAAGCAGCTCTTCGAGGTTCAGAGTGACGTTTTTTTCCTTTGAGGAACACCAGTGTAGAAGCTGTAAATGCCTCCATCTTGGCTCTCATGTCCTCCGGATGTCTTTGCCGAACGGCAGTTTAACGTCTTGTAGTAACTGAAAAATAAACAACGAATGGAGAGTGTTGCTGGTTTACAAAAGTGCATTTATACGCTATAGATTTGCACACACGGATTGCTTACACACACACACGCACACACACACACACACATATATATATATATATATATATATATATATTAACTAAATGACCACTCACTGTCACTAGAGTGGAGTAGGGCTGCGCGTCAATTAAAATAATTTCGATTTATGTTTTCTTTTATATTGATTATTTAATCAATTTATAGGTCCCGCTGATCTTCAGGCGTGATATTGTATCTCAGAAAAGACTTAGAACAACCGATTTTTTATTTGACAAGTTTTTACTACGGCTTATAATGGGTATTACATAGCAACTTGTCACCGTGCCTCGTACAGAAGTAAGGCATGGCAAACATTTAAAATAAAATATCTGTACATATTTGTAAAATAACAAGTTCAAATAGCAACTTGCCATTGTGCCTCATACACAAAGAAAACATGGCAAACCTTTAAAATAAAATATTTGTACGTTATCATTTAAACTTCAAAACCACTCTAGATAAGAATCATAAAACACTTAAGTAGCTATCAGAAACAATTGTGTTATAACCACACAAAAAGAATAAATGAGTATTCTTACTTTTTTGTTTATAAGACTTTTCGTATTCAACTATAATATATAATAATTCAACGGCATATTGGTAATTCAACCAACATGCCGATTAAACTCACTTGATTGAGAGCAAAACGATAGTTAATTAATCGTAATGTTAATTAATTCATTGCCTAGCCTTATTACGAGGTAAAATGTTATCATTTAGCACGTATCAAAAGCCCTTATCTCATTCACAGGCGATAAAACGGGTAGTAAGAAACTTTTGAAGTCCTGATGACCTGTAAAAATCTCAAAACTTTAAGACTAGATGTAAAGAAGACAATGTTGAATTACCATTCCGGGAATCGTCATTGCCAGAAATTCTTCAAGGACTGTGCGGTCTCCAGCCTCGCTGAGGATCAATTCTTGGCAATACTGAAACGTCCGCATCATGCGGTCTTGTATCAGGTCGACGTTCAGGGGCACTGTAGTTATCTCTTCTTTCGTGAGCAAGACATGACGGCGAACGCTCACGGCGTCTTCACATTTGTCAGTATCAACGAATCCCTAGAAGAAAACCAATTTGTTACGTTTATGCGCCGTCTACGCATGTAAGCTATTGACATAATAGTTGCGGCACTGGATATAGGACCAAGTAAAACAGTTCTTTTCATCAAACATACATCCACATTTGTGCAAACACAAAATGCGCAAAAAGTTCGCGCCTGTTGATTTCCGCACAACACTCCGAGAGCCAATCGTCGCAACTTGCGAAGTCCGCTCAGCGAATGACGACGCGGAACATACGTTTCGACCAAGGAATGCAGTCTGCGCTGTTACATTAAGCGATGCAAGCGTGACGCTTTGCATTCCTTAATGTCACAGCGCAGACTGCATCTTTGGGTCTAACCAAATGTTCGGCATCGTCATTAGTTGAGCGGTGCCGTAAACTGCAGTGATTGGCTCTCGGAGTGTCATGTCCGGTCAAAAACGGAAACGTTTACAGCACATATTCGCTCGCGTTTATTGCGGCTATAAATACGGATACATTAGCTAATTAAAGACGGTAACGTAATTTTTTACATTTACGAAGAGATATCATTGATCATTTCATTCGCGCTGTAAATTCGAAGTTCTGTTCTTGAGATCTTTCTGGCGGAAAGCTTGAACTCAGTATTTTGTCATATTATATAAAGTCAGTATTTTAATAATGAGATCAGTGTTCGCTGCAAAAACTTTTTCTCTTGTGCAGTTCAACGCACGAGAGTATCAAAATAATGTTTTGTTTTTTTGCAACGTGCTTGTTTGGACAACTCCAAGCAAAAAATAGCATAAAAACAAATTTCAAACGACAAGTAGCTTAATTAATAAGAGGCCGCCCCCTATCCTACTTATTCTGCCTATGCATCAAACAATTTCTGGCCATATTGCGCGCTACTGTACTTATAGCAATCTTTAAGAGAAATTACAAATATTGCCTGCTTAAGAAGAAGTTTTACCTTGTAATGATGAACAGGCCAATTGCAGTTCGTTTTCAAAAGGCCACCTGCAGACGTCTCCAATCGTTCATGTGCTCACGTCCGCTGACATGTTACAAGTGATGGCTAAGAGGAAAGGGAGGGAGGTACTTCCTTCTAGAGCTTCAAACCCAAAGGGAGAGGAGGTCGAGCATTGTTCCGATCCACCACTCGTACGAGCGAGCGCTGGCACTCCCTCGAGCAACGAAGCTAGATCCTGTTGGCTCTAGTGACCTTCAGCGACCCACCCCTGTTCACCGCTAAGCTGACAGCGTGGTGGAAGCTACGTGCTCGCCGAACCAATTAGTCGCCTGGTTTTTATTACCTGACACCTTTCTCTGCGGTTGTGATCACGTGGTGCAAGACAGAAGGTTCACTGGTCAAACGAGCATGACGACTCCACCGAACTGTCAGCCCGGTGGTGAGCAGATTAGCCCCCGAAACGTCGCTTTTGAATACATTATGGCTTATCTCCTGGGGTGCCGTTGAGCTGTACGAACCAT